ATGAATAAGAAGAAAAATATCAAATTTTTCACTAAAACTGCAATTACCTCAGAAGTTATTAATCTGCGTAGACACACTGTATAATCGAATATAAATTTAAAAAGTGGCATAGAGTAGGATCGTATTTCTATGTTTAATCGATGGTGCGAGTAGAGCCAGAATCGTTCACCGGTAAACATTCAAACACATCCGAATGCGTGCGCCTTGTTTCAATTGTAATTTTAATTCAATCGTATAATCGAAATATGATTATTTAATTTGACAGCAATTTAGTCGAACTTCGACCACACGCAATTTCTAGTTATAATGGAGAAATAAAACATAAAAGTCGTCGACCTTTCACAGTTATTATCTAACCGAGTTTCATTTTTGGAAGTGCAGTCTACAGAATTTTTGAAGATCTCACAGCACGTCGGTACCGAGAAATCCATGAGTAAGAGCCCCAAGACAACTCTATGAACTCAAACTTTCCTCAAAGATCGACCTGTACGACAGCCTACTGGATCTGCATATCTTTCAATTTTCGATTTTCTCTTTTGGGGTCTCATGCAAAATAAAAACTAAAAAACGCGATACCAGATTGTAGCGGAACGTTCTGCGGCAAGTAACTTAACTTTCCGAAACGCTATTAGATGAATAACGAAAATGTGCCAGTTTTGCTTACAGGAAAATGACCGTCATTTCTAAAACCATTTTAAATCTCATTGCTTTTCTATTTTATTTTATTTTTTACTTAAGTTTTAAGTAAGATAGGTAAATAGGTACTGTTTTCTTTTGTATAAAATTCAATAATTTTATCAGTTAAAATGAGTTTTTGAAGTAAATCTAAAAGTACTACATTTGTAGTATAATAATTACTTAGATGGATTTAGTTTTTAATAAATTTTAGCTACAGACTACTACCTACGAATTGGGCACAAAAAAATTTTTAGAAAATGTTAAGCTTGCTTTTCAAAATAATTATATCTAATTATATATTTTGGAAATAANATTTATTCTATGATTTTTTAGTAACTGTAAATAATTGTGTGTCAAAATAGTTAACTTGTCTATGATGGTTAATAAGTTGATAGATGTAACTTTTTTTTCCAATGTCGCTTCTATATTTCAAAAAAATAACTAATTCTAATCTTTTTTGTCGTAGTTGAAAACAGAAAATCGTAATGTCGTTAGAACAGACAGCATGCGAAGGTATTTCGACTGAAAAATACAGAAAATAAAATCATAACCTATAAAATAGATGTTATTGCAGATTTAAAAGCCTTTGAAAGACGCCTCACCGAAGTAATTGCTTGTTTACAACCATCCACGATAAGATGGAGAAGTAATTAATATATAATAGTTTTAATCGTTTTTAATTGTTCTTTAAATAATGCTTTTCCAGTTGTTCTTCTTGTAGTATCCTTGTGTGTAGCTACAGGGGCAGGTCAATGGTTAATGGATCCTGTTACTAGGGTAGTACCTTTATCACAGTCGCTGTCAAATCATCCTTTTTTTATTCTAGCAACAGTAATTTTAGGTAAAGTGATATTAAAATATATTTAATTGAAAAATTTAACTATTCAATTGTAGTCATAATTTTTCTTCTGGGAGTTCACAAAAGAGTCATAGCAGCTTCAATTATTACAACAAGAACAAGAGAGGTTTTAATTGATTTCAATATGTCATGTGATGATACTGGTAAGCTAATTTTAAAGCCAAGGCCTACAAATATAACATGACAACCAATCCATTAAACATCATGTACAGTTATAGATTCATTGCGTCTGTAAAATAGTGTTAGAAAATGATTTTTTAAATAAAGTTAAACATTTTTTTTCATAGAGATAGACCCAGATTAGATTACCATTCACAAATACTTAAAGATGTGGGATGTTCAAGTTTTAAAAGAGTGGAGGTGTATGTCTAACCAATTTTAGGAATAACATCCCTATGATAAACAACTTTCTTATTAGGAAAAAATATTATTTAGGTACTTACAAAATAATTCACAAATTCATACGAATTTCTACAAATATACATAACAGAAATTAGTACTAAAATCCATATTTTGCTTGAGTTTGTTTTCTTGCAAACCTATTTTGTGCCCATTGATTTTGTAATTCCAGTTCATTAGCCTTAGCCTGTTGAGCCAGGTAAGTAATATGATGTTTTCTTTTACATGTATCATTCACCTCGTCTTCAACCTCTTGCTTAGGAGCATAATTTGGGTCTGTCAATGATTTCAACCAATCTGCTTTATCAGGCCTTATTTCATCTTCATGTATATCAATGATGTTTACATCCATTGCTTTTTGTTTACCCCTTCCAACTAATTCTTTGAAAGCAGCATTATCAAGACCTTCATAAGGTTTTTCTGCTGAGGGAGCAATCTCAATATCAGAGACCATACTTCCAGCATTATTGGATAAATCACTATTAACTGTATGTTTTGCAGGTAAAGTAAATGCAGTTCTTCGTTTGGACTGAGCATTTATTTTTTGCCACAATTCTTCATCAAAGTTTGAAATAACTTCATCATCAGAATCATCTGATTCTTCTACTTTACTACTACTACTACTACTACTACTATTGGTTTCTTTCACACTTTCCTTAGTATTCAATGTCTCTTTTGCACGCTTATTTGAAATAACTGTTGACTTCTTCTTAACAACATTAGGAATAAGTGTTATCACCTTTCCTGGTTGCACTTTTGGTGGTGGCAGAATTGATAGAAGACCACTTTTTTTATTTTGATCGTTTGTTTTTACCTTCTTACTAACAGGTTCATCATCAGAATCGTAATTAATGGTGGGAATCGGGATTTTTACTGTTTGTTTAGATTTTAAAGTCTTTTCTTCATATGCATTCTGAGTTTTTTCCTCATCACTTTCACTATCATCATATGCTACAAGGGACATGCTTATTTTCAAATATTCCACAACAGCATTAAAGCGTGATTAACTGATTAATAATTAATCGTTTACACAAACTAATTGATGAATTAACATTAACTAGCACTTGCACAATAACAATAATTTTAATGTACGTTTCAGATTACCATCGCCATAGATAGTAGCCTATTATCTATGATAGTAGCATAGATAAGGTAAGAAGATACTAGTAAAACTCATTTGACAGTTGTGTGAAACTGGCACCCGATATAAATAACCCTCTGATTAGAACTTCACCAATAAATTATTTTAGTTAATTAGTTCTGTTAAAAAAACCGTTTCAGGGTACAGGTCTAAATTAAATATCAGTTTATTCAAAAACTACTGAATAAGTGGTATTTTGAATACGTCTGTAAAGGGTCTTAAATTAAAAAAAGAAGTTTTGATACCAACTTTTCGAAAACATACTTAGATTGCTTCATTGAAAATAAAAAGTTAACCGGTACATAGTAGCTGCTGTAGTTACTTCCGTAGACGTCCACCATTGAAGGTTAGAACTTAATAACTAATAATAAGATTTACTGTTTCGATAGGAGCCATTGTAGTTGGACGGACGTGGAACGCATATCTGATATCGGATACGGAGCTACTTCCAATTAATACTAGTGATACTTATCTATGATGATACCTTTTATTGAAGTCATAGGCAAGGTTATTGTCATTATCTATTGTTATTGCAGTGATAAGTAACAAAGATAGCATATTTTAGTAATTCTCTGCTTTCTAAAGTTTGTGGATTTATGATGTTTTTGATTTTGATGATGATTTTGTGGATGTTCTGAGTAATGGTATGGCAAAAAAAATTCACTTGAAAACATTTAGACGACAAATAACGAAGCAAATGTTTAAATATTCTTATTACAAATAACAGTATTATGTTACAATTAATTTCACGAATTTGTTAATAGCGCGTATCAATTTACATACATCTTTTTTCATTTAAAATAATAATTCATTAAGTGAAAATAGGTACTATCAATTATAATATATTACTGCTTTACGTTACAAATTTGGTAGAATATAAGCATGACGTCCTTGGAAAATCTAGAAACTCAGCTTGAGCTGTTTATAGAAAACGTTAGACAAATACATATTATTGTCAGTGATTTTCAACCTCAGAGTCAAACAGTGTTGAATCAGAAATTGTAAGTAAACAGTTATTTAAAATAATATGCATATTTATGGGCATAAATTGTAGACAGTCTTTGGTCCATGGTCTTCAAGAAGTTGATAAATTGAAATCTCAGGTTCAAGATGTTCATGTTCCTTTAGAGGTTTTTGAGTAAGTTCATCATCTTAAGGTCGTCAGTCCTAAGACTGGATGGGCATGCACCTCCACCCTTTCCTATCTTAAGCTAATCTTTGCAATTCCCTAAAAACAGAACCTCTATTAACGTTATCCTCATCATTCATCGGTAACACCACATTTTAAATGCTTCTAACCTTTTCTTTTCTGCCGCGCCCACAGTCCATATTTCAAACCTGTATAGTGCCGCGCTCCAAACGTACACGTTTAACAACCTTTTTCATGTTTATAAATTAACCATTCGCGAGCATAGAAGTGACTTTTTATCAACCCTGCACTCCTCTGCTTTTTATCACTACTACTCCTTCTGTCCTGACTTATCTGACTTCCTAGATACCGCAAATCAGCCACTATCTTTATATTCGCAACTTTCCCTGCTTTTGCTTCCCTTGTATACCAGTCTTTTTGTTTTATTTGTATTTATCTTCATGCAGTACTGTTTTGTCAATACCGCTTCTATTTTATTTTGAGCTATATCTTACTCCTTGCTTATTACTAATACTGTTATATCATCTGCAAACCTATGCATACTGATTCATTGTCCCTGCATATCTATCCCTACAGTTGTACTGTCTTTAATGATGATGATCGTGTCTTCGATGTATATATTAAAAAGTAGCGGTGACAGTGTGCATCCTTGTCTGACTCCCTTCTTATTTACTAGTCTATGTTGCTGCTCCAGTTTTATAACTGTCTGTTGCTCTTTAATACGAACTAAGTTTCAGTCTTCTATTTCTGTAACTCATCCCTACATTTTTAAGTATATTTAACATCTTGTCCCATTAAACATTGTTAAAAAAAAAAATTTCTAAATCTGAGAATCCTATGTATGCACTATTTCCTTTTTTTATCGTTTTCTCTATTATTACCTGTAGAGCTAGAATGGCCTCCCACATTCCTTTATTTCTTCTAAACCCAAATTGATCTTCCCCTAATAGTTCTTCCACCCTTTTTTCCATCCTTGTGAGAAAGTTAAAAATTATTATGTAAGTTTATTTACAATTTGTAGTTATATCGATCAAGGGAGGAATCCTCAACTATACACAAAAGACTGCATTGAAAAAGCATTGACAAAGAATGAACAAGTAAAAGGCAAAATTGATGCGTATCGGAAATTTAAAGCTAATATGCTTTTAGAGCTTACACGAATTTTCCCCAATGAGTTAACAAAATACCGAGCTAAAAGGAATGAATGACAAGCAGATATACTTTTACACTTTAATTACATATTCGTGTTAAGTTTAATAAGCTCTACAGGTTTTAATTTTGTGTGAGAGACATTTATAAGCTATGTACCTAATTCAAAAATAAATCCTTTTTTATTGGACAAAATGTTTTATTTATAACTTGAAATAAAGTGTGTACTCTGCACTAAGTATTTATTCTTACAAAAGTAAAAAGAAATGTAGTACAGATGTAATCAGAATTCAGAGTTTCCCCAACGGATCTGAAAGAGAAGTACAAAATGTATTAAACATAACTATTCTGTAATTTATTTTGGTGTCTGCGTATTTTTTTTAAGTTAATGCCGCAAAATTTTACTAATTATTATGTCTTGAAAACTATAATTATAAATAGTTATGTAAACATATTTGTTACTGAAAAATTCCTATAAATTACATAAAGATACTTTGCTACTACTGTTTATTTTTTGACATGCATAAAGTAAGTGTTTCAAAAGGAAGGTATTTCAGATTGAAAACATTGCGCCAAAATTTGGGGTGGCATTTTGGCTATATGTGAAAAAATGAGAAAGATATTGATGTGTTAAATACCCAATTAATAGACAATTTCACATATCGATTTTTTTAAAATTAATTACGAATTCTTTACATTCGACCATTATACAAAATCGTTTTAATAGTTTTGTCATTTTGACAATTGAACATAGAATTGTTGATCAAATAAATTTAAAAGATGTGACAAAAAATTGAGAATAGTTTAACAGTTTTTTGCATTTTTTGTACAATTGATTTTATTTTTAAAATTGCATTGTGATTGCTAGTGTATTAATGCATATTTTTAATAGCATCTAATTTAATTTCTGTTTTGTACTACTTGATTGCCAATCTATCTATCTATGTTACATGTTTCTTTCTAAATGTATGCTTTTTTAAAATCGATATAATTTGATTTAATTTTTATTGATAAAAAATATACATCTTTATTNAGCCGTGCCAGCTCAATCTCCTTGAAAATATACTATTTTGTAGAGCTCGTCATGCATGCGAACAAGAATATACATATAGCTATGTTGGGCGCGAAAGTGAGATCTTCATAGTGTTTTTGAGCTTCAAAAATGCAAAAAACTAATGATTCATAATTGATATTTTGTAAATAACTAGTGTTTGACAAGGTTGGGGGAGGGTTTCCTTCGTTCACAACTAACAATATTATTAATACTCATGCCTTGTAACTATATTAAATTTCTCTCATGATGCTGATTTGAGGCAAATTTGTTATACATATATACAGGGTTATTCAGGTTATCCGACACGGAAGATTACGACTATGTTTTTTAGACTTTTAAATTTTTTTAATGTGGGGGTAGATAAAGATCCATAAGAGGTACATTTCAAAATTATTTTCGTAATATACAGTGTCCGAAAAACACAAAACGTATCAGCTTTGTTTTTTTAAATGGAACACCCTATATATTTTTACATTTTTGTAAACAAACCTTAAGGATTTTGAAATATTTTGAATTTTGTGAAAATGTAGTTTAATGTAGTTTAACTTTTAAATTCTCAACGTGTATTACGACTTTAAGAACCAAATTTAAACTGAAGCCTGTTAATTGATTATGTTTTGTATCACCATTGTGAAAAATTGACTAACGTATACAGAATTTCCAAAAATTATGAATAAATAAATACAAGTTTTAAACGACAATAACTTGTTTAGTTTAAATGGAACACCCTGTATTTTATGTCATCAGCAGATGTAAAATTAAATTCTCTAGCGAATACTATTAGACCTTCCTACAGCTAACTGTTGACGTCTTTATGAAAATGGCACATTTTCAGAACGCAAAGAGAATTTAACAAATTTGATGTAATTTATCAAATCAACCATGGCATTTTGACAAGTCAAAATTACATAAAACTCAGCTGGTATAAACCAAAAAACACTTGAATAACATCACTTAAGATTTATGGACTAGCTTAAAGGAAGAAAGCAAAAGACTAATGGAAATACAACAAATAATACTGCCACATAGCATGCATTCAACATGACGACTGCCTAATTCTAAACATTAACGTATTACCTGATCTAAGTCTTCTAGCAACATTGGCCAACATTTGTGGATCTATGATTCTGTAATGTGCTGCTTCAGCAATTTATTTTACACATCCCCATAAAACGTTTCATCGCCAGACTTAACTCCACCGAATTTCTTTTTATGGGGATATGTAAAAGGAATTGTTTTTATAACACATTTCCAACAACGCCAGAGAATATGAAGCAGCACATTACAGAGAAGCTTTAAGAATCGTACAATCAAATGTTGACCAATGTTGCTGAAGACTTAGATCAGGTAATATGTTTACGTTTAGAATCAGGCAGTCGTCATGTTGAATGCATGCTATGTGGCAGTATTATTTGTTGTATTTCCATTAGTCTTTTGCTTTCTTCCTTTAAGCTAGTCCATAAATCTTGAGTGATATTATTCAAATGTTTTTGGTTTATACCAGCTGTGTTTTATGTAGTTTTGACTTGTCTAAATGTCATAGCTGACTTGATAAATTACATTAAATTTGTTAAAATAGCTGTGTTCTAAAAATATGCATTTTTCATAAAAATATCTAGTTACCTATAGGAAGGTACAACAGTATTGGCTAGAGAATTAAATTTTACCACTGCTAATGACATAAAACAGGGTGTTCCATTTTAACTAAATAAGTTATTGTCGTTTAAAATTTGTATTTAACCATAATTATTGGACATCCTGTATACAATACAAAACATAGTCAATTAAAAGGTTTCAAGTTAAATTTGGTTGAAAATTTAAAAGTTAAATTTATTACCATATTTTCACAAAATTCAAAATATTTCAAAATCCTTGAGGTTTATGTGAGGTAAACCTTCATGAAACTCTATTATTTTGATTATAAAATAATAAAATGTAAAAACACAGGGTATTCCATTTAAAAAAACACCTTTGATACGTTTTGTATTCTTCTAAAAAAAAACTAAAAAACACTTACGTCTGTCCTTGCTTTTAATTTTCTATCAATTAATCCAACCAATGTTTCCGATCTAACCGATAAAGAATCAATCTTCTCAATCAACTGCTGATAGGGTGATAGTGGCTGAGCACCCATTACGACATGTCCTAATTTTGAATCAATTTTTGCATCCAAGCGAGCATTTCGTATTAAATTTACAATCCAACATTCAGCTTCATCTGGATTCATGTTCAGTTTTTCTGCCAACATTCCAATGCTAATACATTGATGTATTCTACAGAATGTTTCAAAAATCATAAGACGTGCATTTTCGATAAATTCTTCTAGGCATGATGTCAAAAAGAAGTCATTATCTAAAACGGCAGCACATTCGTGTAATTTCTGTCTGGCTCCATCAAAATCAAAATTAACATACAGGTGCTCCAAAAACTCAGTTATTGGATCCCTGTAAGTATAACTCTCCTGTTGAATAACTTTAACAAGGTCCTTGAGTGCAGAGCGTCTGTTTCGGTTAATTATTACAGCAGTTGCTAAATAACGAAGAATGTGAGGGCACATAGTCTGGATTGCATTAAGATAATGAGGTCTGTAGAGGAACATATCAATAATGAGGTCACGCCCCATCATATGGTTGAAAAAAACAAACAATGACCAGTGAATAAGCCATGTTCTTTGCTGTAGAAGTTGCAAGCTTGTACCATTAAAATGATTGGAATCAATATACTCGCGTAACTTGTTTAGATCTTCAAGAGCTGAATCCCAACTTTGCACGAGAATTTCAGATGCCAGTTTACCCCATAAAACGCTGAGATAGTTTTTGTCTGTTGGAGGTAAGACCAGAAGGCAAAAATATAAATATGAGACTGTTAATGAATAATTGCCACACTCATAACGATACTTTGCTAATCTATGCAAATCATCAATCATTTCCATATTAAACTAAAAATAAGAATTATTTATTAATTGGTTTGTAATAACTGTAATGTAGTACAAACTTTTTTTATAAATGTGCTCAAGAAATGCATCTACATTACTTTTTGAAAATAACATCTATAATCATAAAAATATGTTTTTGGTTGTTACAATTTACATTAAATAACTATGTGAATTAGAATTCAACCCATGTATTGCAATTGTGCAAACTGTACACAACCATGGCTTTCATTAAGTAATGTATTTTTAATATCATTACAACATACAAAGTATGTAGTTAGCTTTACCCTCTTTAAAAAAAAAATGTAGCTGTTTCAATAAGCTTTTTAAGTGGCCTGATGAAGTCCAAATTTATGAATAAAAAATATTGTTAAAGAAAATTATTAAATTATAAAGTTTAATATTTACATTGATTTTGTCTGACAGAAAACTTATAAGAGCTTTAGAATCTCTCATACTCTCCATTTTTTTCATGTCTTCGTCGTTTTCCATCATCTGTAAAATAGGCTCCACTCTCTCTTGCAATACTGACAATTGTGTAACTACTTCTTGACGTCTTCGTTTCATTTCCTTAAATAAACCAAATTAACAATATACTTTCATAAAATGTGCATGTACATACTTCCCCCAATGGTGCATCTGGGTACACCGTACTTTGAATATCAATTGTATAGTCAATCATGTTTGTTTTATTCAATATTTCTAATTTAGCTTTCAATAGTTCCCTCTGGTCGTAGATCTGAAGGAATAAGAGCATTATTTACCTAAAAATGTAGGCTCTTTGCAGTCCTTACCCGGCAACTATCTTTTGGCGATAAAAATTCCAGTAAGGGGAATACTAAATGCCTGTCTAAATACTGACCGATTTTGCTGGTCAAATCAAATTTTGCCATATTTACGGAGTTTGTAATCAGAATATTTTACAAAATGTGCAGCGTGAAAAAAAATTTCATAAACTATAGCTATGACTCGCTATGACTGACTAGAGGTTATGATAAAAACCCATAGATAATAGATCTACAAAGGGTAAAAACCTATGGATAAAAACAGCGCCCTCTGCAGTCTTACTGTTTCTAATTACTGTTCTTTTTCAACCTTCCCTTCTCTTTATAAAATTAAGTAGCTGCAATAATGACTTACATAGATTAGAGATATAGAGATAGATTGAAGATATATACATATACTTATAAGGCTAATTGTTTTTTTCTGTAATTGAAGCAGCGAGTGATAATCTATAAAGTCAAATCATTATCTGTTTCTATTTTCATTTTACACTTTCTGAAACTTTCCGAAACTATAGAATAATTCCAAAATCAGAAATAATTTTATTTGTGTAACCGTATCTGAAACTGATACAATAATAGTTACAAATAAATGGTCATAAACCATCTCATAAGCTTATATATTTTATATCCGTATTATTTGGCGTTATACTGGTGCGAAACATGGACAGTGGGCGCGGCGGAAAAGAAAAGATTAGAAGCTTTTGAAATGTGGTGTTACAGACGAATGATGAGGATAACGTGGATAGAAAAAGTTAGAAATGAAGAGGTATTAGAAAGAATAGGAGAACAGAAAACTCTATGGAAGTCAATAAAAAATAGGCGAGATAGGTTGGTAGGACACCTTCTCAGGCATGAAGATCTAGTCAGAGACATATTAGAGGCAGAAACAGGAGTTAGGAGGAGTTGAGGCAGACCTAGGTTAGATTACTGTTCGCAAATAGTTAAGAATGTGGGTTGTTCTAGTTTTAGGGAAATGCAAAATTTAGCTCAGGATAGGAAAGAGTGGAGGTACGTGTCCCCAACCAGTCTTAGGACTAACGACCTTATGATGATGATTATGGATTTGAATATGAAATTTCAGTTCCATAACATCCCTGGTATTTAGCATCAATGTTCATTACCATAGAGCATAGAGTTCATAACCATAGATAATGTTCATAACCATAGACGTATATTAATGGACGGGCCTTAGCCGTATGTCGTTGTAATAATTTCCTGGCTCGAACAGTGAGGGAGATGGCGTATGGTTTCGGACTAGTTCTATGTCTTTCATGACACAGTAACGCACTATCGTGAGAGAGATGAATATTGTCCGAAACTTCGTTCTATCTCTTTCTTTTGTTTTACCACAATTCTGACCGCTAAGGCATGTCCATTACTAACGTCGATGTTCATAACCATGTTTTATCCATAGATGATTCGATGGTTTTGTCCAACATATTGAAATATATATAGTTTAAAGTTGGTTTCTCAAATTCATTTAGAGGTTACCGAGGTTTATTAGCATTTTATTAGTTTAGATTTAGAATAAATACAAAGTTGATTTATAAGGCGTTTTTAATAAAAAATGCGTGAAAGTAATGGAAGCCCTTCTTTAAAAAAAGCAAAGCTGGAAAATGATAACATTATAGAAAATAATATTAAGCTAGAACCAGTAGAAACAAGTAAAAATATAACAGTATGTATTATCATTATTAGTGCTAAATATGTTTAAATTTTAGATACAAAAGTACGCCTTTGTCCTTATTTGGATACCATTAATAGGCAGTATTTAGATTTTGATTTTGAAAAACTGTGCTCAGTATCATTATCACGAATAAATGTTTATGCATGCCTTGTATGTGGGAAATACTTCCAAGGAAGAGGCACAAACACANATTGAAATTTTAAATTACTTGTTATACAAGAAGCATAATTTGGAAAATAATTTTAAATTACAGAGACTGCTTTATTCCAAAGAATAAAGTTAATATCTTAATAAAAAGTTTTTGTATAACTGCACTTTTGTAGGAGTATACAGTCAAAAATTTTTTAAAAAATTGAAGTAGGTGTGCTTAATGCGCATTCAATGTGGTTTTATTATGTAAAAAAATGAAAACAGTTAACATGATTGGTTCTTTTAAATGAAACTGTGTAAACATAAACATAAATAATTCAATAAATGTTAAATTGTATACATAACGAAAAAAGTAATTTTGGAAATACTTTTTAGGTCAATTTGTACCAGTTATTAACAAAATTCAACGGTCAAAGTGAAAAGGAGTATAAAACATACAAAGAAAACTTTATGAAAAAGTTTGAAATACAACAGTTGCCTCCTTATTTAATATTATACATAAAAAGATTTACTAAAAATACATTTTTCATTGAAAAAAATCCTACAATTGTCAATTTTCCGGTAAAGTAAGTAGATTTGCTTAAATTTTTTTTTTCTTTATAATTGTAAGCATAATTTTTAAAGGAATGTTGATTTTGGGGAATTTCTCACGGCAGAAGTTAAATCCAGACATAAAAATACGATTTACGATTTAGTTGCCAATATTGTCCATGATGGTGAACCTGGTAAAGGGACCTATAGAGTTCATATCTTGCAAAAATCTACCGGAAAATGGTATGAGATGCAAGATTTACACGTAACTGATATCCTACCTCAAATGATAACTTTGACAGAAGCTTATATACAAATATATGAACTGAGAAAATCATAGTAAGCATGTATCAACTAAATAATTTGTAAATAAATGAAACTTCAAGGATACCTATTTTCTTTAAATCAATATTCTTTTTTTTAATACCCTTGCATTCTTTACATTGTTCGCTTTTTATTGTACTTTTTCTTATCGTAGCCTAATTAAACGATATTTTGGTATATGTAAATGTATGTAATATACATGCATTACACTCGGG